GTATTGGAGAAATTCCGATCTTTTATTTTTTATTCCAATTTGATATTATTCAATATTTACTGACTAACTTGCCAATGAGACAATAGAGTAGAGATTATTGGTGCAATTTCCTCTTAATAAGTTTCCTTATCTTTTTGACTTGGCATTTTGAGTTTTCAAATTAAGCATGGATGAAATTGAGATACCTCAGTATTTTCTCTGTCCCATATCCCTTCAGATCATGAAAGATCCCGTCACCACCGTCACCGGCATCACATATGATCGTGAGAGCATCGAGCAGTGGTTGTCAGCGGCGGCACAGCCAAGCACAACCTGCCCAATAACCAAGCAGCCTTTGCATAGAGACTCAGACTTGACACCAAATCATATGCTCGCCCGGCTGATCCAAGCATGGTGCATTGCCAATGGTAGTCATGGAATTGATCGAATCCCAACCCCAAAATCTCCCATCAACAAATCCAACGTTGTTAAACTCATTCGGGATCTTGAAAATCCTGTTTTGTATATGAACTCTTTGAAGAAAATGGATGAACTTACCAGTGAGAGTGAAAAGAACAGAAAGTGCATGGCGGAGACGGGAGCAGCCAAGGCGATGATTACATTCATTTTACGTCGCTTCCGGGAAGGTAATGTCATAATCACCTCGAGTAAAGGTTAATAGCTATCAACAAAAGAAAAATAGTGATTCTTTTTGTGATTTTAATAGAATTTTAGATTTTCTTTTTTATTAGGTTAGGACAGTCTCAATTATCGGTCCAAAATTAACGAGTCCAAATTCTGGGTATTCTGTCTGGTTCAAAGATTTTTATTTATTTATTTATTTTTAAATTTTCATTAGTGGATCAACATGAAGCAGAAATTTGTTGTGAATTTTTGCAATTTTTTCACCCCTAGACGAGTTTTCCTCGTCACTGTATTTAAATTATCTTCAACATGTACGCCTCTCATGGGCACACGGGATTTATTTTGGTGTTTCAACAGGTAACACTACAGGTCTTGAAGAAGCATTGAGGATTCTCCATCTAACCTGGAATCCAACTTCTGAAAACAAGCAGCTGTTCAAAGAGAATTTCGAATTCCTCCAATCCATAATATGGATTCTGAAGACTGAATCAGAAAACAGCCAAACACTCAAAACTCAGGCAGTTATAGTCCTTAAAATGATAACAGAAATTGCAAGTTCAAGCCTGTT